GTTATACAAGTTGTCTAGTGACTATAATTATTTCTCAAGACCTTGTATTTTAATTATGAAACACCAAGATTTAAGTAAACTGCAAGATCCAGAAATGCATTCATATCCTCCTTTGTACATTTTATCCTTTTTCCTTTTCCTTTTCTTATATTTGTTCCTTAAAAAACTGATTAACAGTACCTGTGTGACAAATACAAATTCCTTTAGCATAATTGTAAACATAAAAAACAGTTAATTCATCATCATCCAGATTACATAATATCAATATGAAAAGATGCAATTAATAATCCACCACATTTCTCCTTCTCATTGTACTATGCACAAGCTGAACATAAAATAACTGATTCAAGTTGAGTCACACACAGACACACTCTTCTTCCTACATGGAATCTGTTGATCGAGAGCAAGCACGAATTTCCCACAGTTAGCAACATGAAGAAGATCAGAAAATCGATACAAACTCATATAAAGAATTAAGTTATATCTATACTTCAATTCAGTACCGAGTTCTTCTCAAGTAACGTTCCAAACAACTCGCACGATTAGCTACTTCTAAGCACCTCGCGCATTCGTTACAAGGGCTGTCGTATATTACTAACTACATTCATACAATTTCTTGCAAGTATTAAAAGAAAAGAAAAAAAAAAAAAATGCACCAAACCTCTCAACTCAAGACATTCATGCCCTGCATTGAGGACGATGATGTCATCAATGCCTCGTCAATCTCGCCACACGTACACGATGATGTCATCAACTCAACTCAACTGCTCTGCCGGCCCTTCAGACACTTGACTCTGGCTTTGACTTTGACCTCTCCTGGACTCCCCCCCACTCTTTCTCCTCAGCATCTCCTTAATCTCAGCCTCTTTCCTATCCACAAAATCAATCATATCCTTAAAGCTCGTGGCTCGTGGGGCCCGCCTACTCGAAAGGGCTGGCTCAGCCCGCTCATCATCCTCGGCACTGTATTTGCTGTACTGCAAACAAACCCTGCAGAAGAAGATTGTCAAGGCAAGAAAGCATGCAACCCCACACAAAAGGAAAAGGCCCCAAAAGCTCTTGAGCGAGAGCTGGTTTTCATCAACCGGGTTCGCCTGAGCCGAGCACCCATTGCTCGAGAGCCACTTGTCGTGAATTCTCTGAAGCTCCCCAGTTTCGGATAGTTGGAGAATAGCAGTCGACATGTCTACTGCCAAGGGAGAGTCCCTTTGGAATGCCTGTCGAAGCACGAGTTTTTGGTAAAAACGAGACTAGTTTCGAAAAATTTTGCAAATAAAATAAAAACCCGATTTTTTCAAAGAACACTTACGAATCCCCATCCGCTTTTGGTGAACTCACGCCCGACGATACTGAAAGTGCACTTTGTGTTGGAAAGGAAAAGCTCGACATAAGGAAGCTCGTCTACAATGGCGGCTACACCACCGCCATCCGGGCCTCGTTCTAAGGCATCAATGTATTCTTCTTGAGTTTTCAGAATGCGGAGCCTTGATTTGGCTATGTTTAGCTCGTTAATAAGATACCTATATGCGAACGAGCCGTCCTGGATGCCTATTGGGTCGGAACTCGAGATTAAAGAGTCTATTCCTTGAATTCTTGAGAAGAGCTGTTGTACGGTGAGGATTGAAGTCAAACTAGCCGTGTAGCTCGAGTTGATGATTAAAACTACGAAAAGCCAAAAGATTAGCACCGCACGTCCAAGTGTGCTGACAGTGTTTTCTCCTACAAAAAAGGGGACCATTTTGGATGTATGTTATTAGCTATCAAGTTTTAATAAGCTCAAAAGCTTGGATTTTTTGTAAGTTTTGTAAGTTTTTCTTACTGTGAGAGAAGAACATTGTTGAGAAGCTGAACCTGAAAAATTGACATACATTCAAGTGAGAACATGAGTCATTTATCGAGTGAAAAATTGACATATATCAAAACAAATGGCAGAAAACACTAACCAAAAAACGGTCACGAGTTGCTGACGTGGAGAACCACGGAACTCTGTGTTGAGCCGATGCTCAAGAATCCAAACAACAACTCCAACAAATAGGAAGAAGACACCTGTCACTGCCCACATTTGCCAGGTGAATGGCTTGAGGAAAGCCCAAGGGCTCGATTTAACCTGCCTGACGGGGGCCACAACAACAAGACCAGATTCAAGGTACGGTTGAGTAAAGTCCACAATCCTTGTTCTGTTTGTAGTAATAGTCACATCCCCAACAGCAGCATCATATTTCTGCACAAGGTAAATTCACATAAATTCTCAGTTTTTTTTAAGAGGAAAAAATTCGCTCATTTGTTTTCGAAAGACTCATCGCAACAAAGAAAGAGAATGAAAATGCTCACATTTTGTGCAACGCCATTCACAAGATTATCGAACGATGGATTTCGCTGACCATCTCCAAACAACACATACTCGTGAGGCACCGGATAAGGCAACAAAGCAACAGCAGCTTCAAACACGTCAATACAATACCCTCTCGCCCCCAACGGCCCTTTATCCTTCGTAACGAAATCCGGATAAGTAACTCTATAAGGCACCGCTATCTTCAAAGGCTTACCGTTATTCGGAAAAACCCATCCCTTAGGCTTTGCTGTGGTCTCTCCCGGCCATATAACGCTATAAAGTCTCTGTCTACTTGCAGAAGTATTTCTCAGCTTCGGATATAAATTCTCTGACAGACCCGAGTCATTCGTCCAGTAGCCGAGCCTCCGAAAACCCGTCCCCCCAAAGTTCAAAACCTCAAACGCCGGACGAACTAAATTCTTCTCATTGTCGAACCGAATTTCGCCGCTAAGGCCAGTGAAGTTCGTTTCCTTTAGAATCTCGAGCAAGGTTTGACCTTGGTCAAACACCCGAAGGCTTACATTGGCGTCACGCAAGCTCAAGTCGTCAGAAAACGTTATCTTTTCGCCGCTTTTCAGAAAAGAATCGAGCGCACGGGCTAATAACCAAACCGAGTCATAAGCGTAGAGAGCATACGAGTTAAAAATCCCCGACTGGTTTGTAAAACGAGCCTTTCGATCTGAATCGGGAGAATAATGCTTAAGAGCAAGAACCCCTTCGACTAGATCAGCTTTTTCCCGATCAACTGAATCGAGAACTGCTGGAAGCCAATCTGTAGCTATCCAGACATAACCGGCACTCATCATCCCGAGCCTTTTCGCGACAGAGAACACGTTCAGACCAGAATCGGGATTCACATGTACAACAAAAACACGGGAAGACAAGAGGTTGACTTTGACCAGCAAGTTGTCAATGTCACTTAGTGGAGCTCCGGGCATTAAAGCTGCCTTGTAAGAGATTTTGGCCCGTTTTGCCGCAAGGGCATCTCCCAATGCGGAAACTCCGTTCCTTCCGTAATCATCATCTACGAAAACGGCGACTATTTCCCGCCAACCGAAGTAATCGATGATGTCAGCGACTGCACGCATCTGGAAATAGTCACTTATGGTCGTGCGGAGAAAGTAAGGGTACTGAAGGGCTGAGAGAGTGGGGTCCGTGGCTCCGAAAGACAATAGGGGCACGTGAAGCTCGTCTAATATGTGAGAAATTACGTGTGCTATCCCTGAGGACTGTGGGCCGAGGGCAGCCACGATTTCTTGCCCCATTAGTTTCATAGCTACACAAAGTAAGGAGGACCTGTCAAGATTTTTCGTCGTTTTTCTTACTTTCGGGTAGTTAACTTAAGAAACTGATGTAAAAAGGTATGTAAGCAAGGAGAAACAGTTTCGAAAAACCTTTTTTTGTTATTGACAGCAAGACATGACATATATTTCTCAACTATATGAGATATGGAAAGGGTTCACATATCTATATGAATCTTTCACAGTTCTGACTAGTGGGAAATGGATAAAGCTTGAACCTTTATTGTTTGCAATAAGAAATGGAGGCTAAAATTGTGCCTCAGCACCTTCTATGGTGGTGAAAATGCAAATTTTTTACTCTGAAATAAACATAGGAATCAAATATATCGGGCATCTCGATAAACTAGAATCTGTGCAATTGAGCAAGAGAAGCAGAACATAAGAGATATATGATCAAATATTGAAGAACACACCACACACAAATAAATTCAAACATCCGATTGAAGAAAATGAAGCAGACAAAAGGACTAGGAAAACCCAAATATAAACATAAAATTAAAAAACTCTCCTTTCATTTCTTATCGTAAAACATAAACAATCTTCAATAACACAATGTTCAAATGAAAGAGGATACCGGTAAAACTTTTGCTAAATAAGGAAAACGAAAAAGGGTAAGTTACTAATTTACCATCAACTATTCCAAGGAACCCACTGCAATTAGTGTCCTGCACTATAAGATTAAGCTTTGTGCCCTTCAAAATGCCATTATCAGAATTGACATCATCAACTGCAGCAAGAATTGCAGGCCCAACAGACCTCCCAATGGCAGAATCTGATGTGAATAAAGCTCCAATATTTATCACTTTTGGCCCATCAACTACAGAACTGTGATTTCCTGTCTGGCCAGTGGCTTTCAGAGCAACCCACAAACAAGAAGCCAAGAACACAAAAGCCCTCATCATATTCACTTGAACCCAAAGGCTATTGACACAGAAAATCAAGAATCTTGAAATTAAATCACCATTTCTTCTTCTTTTTTTTTTTCGTTTTTAGGCTAAGAAATCACGAGCCTCCCACAAGAACCTGAAAAAATAAAGAAGCTTATGAAGTCCAGAGGTTTATGACTTTTTCTCCTTTTTTTTTTTCTTTCTGGGGGGTGTGCAATATGATTATATGAAGCTGGTAATTTAAGTGTGAATGTAATAAATTGAGGACCACAAATGAAGCTAGAAGGTTTTGAACAGAATTTAGACACGTGGGACAAATGAATCTCATTGGGAGACTACAGACAAGCAGAACTAATGAATACTGACGAAGTACCAAGTTGCAAGCACGACAATACTAGTCTTTGTAAGCTTCATTTCCAATGTTATATGTTAAACTGTGAAAAGCATATTCTTACAAAAAAGAAAATATGAAGCACAAAATTTTCACCTGGTAAAGTAGCAAAAAACGAAAAAATCAAAAGCCAAAACAATAACGGTGAGAAAATTCTATCTCATCAACAATCATATTATCAAGACATTGCTTTTCCCATATTGGGTGAAAGTGAGAGTGACAACCGTAGTAATAAATATAATAAAAAAAACAAGAAAGTTAGAATTTTTACAAATTCTGAGGATGTTAAGGTACAACATCTAAACTTAGGAAAAATCTAAACTACAAAGCTAAATAATCAATCAGTTGTAAGGAGCTGTTAGGTGTGATGTGCACATGGATAAATAAATTTAAAATACTGAGCACAATAACTGTGGATTTGTTGACATGTGACAACTTGGCATTTATTTCCTGTAATAAATTTGAACAGTTTTGGAAAAATACTGTACATGTGTGTGTGTGTGCCCCTTCTCATGCTGGAGACTGGAGAGTATGAGCAAGAAAACTTCTAATCTTGTACACAATATGAAAGTAGAGAAATTTGATGGCCTCTGTAAAACAGTCTTCTTGCAAGCTGAGAAAAGAATAATTCTTTCTTGTGTGTTCTTGCTTGCTTCACCCACTGCTTGTCAGATTTGCACTTTAAGTAGAGTATATTTGGTACTGGTAGATTTGTTTCTATAAAAGGTTGATGATTGTCTCTAGGGTATGTTGGGTAGATTTAGTTTAAAAGGGTAGATCATTGTTGGTAAGTTATTTAACTGTTAAATAATTGCTTTCGAGCTAATAATTGATTATAATTGTGAAAAGTCATGACATAATGGAAATATTTGGTAAAATTGAAAAACTAAAATGGATGTCTCTGAACTGCTACGGAAATAAGTAGGGGTGGGCACGGTCTGGGAGGGTTCGGGATTGGACCTGTCCCGATTTTTTGAACCGGTCCGGGACGACACCTCGTCCCAAACGGAACGGTATCAATCGGGACCGGGACGAAACGGTTCGGGACGGAGACAAAACGGGAAAAAAAATGTTCAAAAATCAAACTTCAAACTAAACTATTCTTTGTTGGTCTGTTTGACTGTTTCACTTAAAAAAAAAATGTTAATTGAATTGGGAATTTGAGAATTTGGATTCTGTAGTCTGTGCGTTGTGCCCGTAAATATAAATGTTAATGACTTAATGTGTATTACTTTATTACTTAATGTTTTCATTTTTTGGGTCAATTGTCTTAACAGTTAACAGACAGAAGTGAATTGGGCTTTCCTTTCATTAATAAAAAAAGCCTATTAAGATTTCATTAATAAATATAAATTAATGTATAATATATAATTATATATATATGTATAATATTTTTGTACAAAAAAAATAAAACGGGACAAACGGGACAATTTGGGAAAAAAATATTAAAAACCGATACCGACATTGTTTCANATATTTAAATGGTGAAGTATTATAATTTTATTTATATTATTTTTTAGATATGAATTTTTAATTTAAAAGTATACAATTATTTAAAATTTTAATTCCCAACAACCACCTTAATATTTTATACGTCCAATAAATAAAAAATATTTAAATAAAAGAAGCTTAAATATATAAGTCTAAACTAGCTTTTAGTATTTATCAATTTTCTCTGATAAAATTTGGCAGTTTTAGCTGGCGTTTACACTTTTGAAATACTAATCTCTTTCCTATCTGTATCATCTCCAATTTTCCAATGTAACATAGGACTGTAGGAGTATTATTTTGTGGTTTCTGCGACTTTTTAATTTACTATATATTAGAAAACTCTTAGAGGTGGCGCAATAATTTGTAAAGGATGCTATGATTCTTTGTATCTGTAAGGTGACAACTTTGATAATATTGACCTTTCAGTAATCTTTTATATTACTAAATATAAATTTATTTAAGTTAGATAATACTCCATATTAAACGCGCAAGCATTGTAAGTCAAGATAGGTTACATTTAATTAATATATTGGGTCTATTATATTATACCATGCATTAAAAATGGGATAGAATGAGTCAAAGTCAACCAGATACCTTTCCTCAGATACTACCAAGAGAGGGTTTTTCTCTTATCTTTTCTGGTGTCTGAAACATGTGGGAGTTAACTTCTTCAGTTTGAGGGATCTTCCTTTGATTTTTCTTTATAAAAAACAAATTAATAGAAAAAGAAAGAAAGAAACAGTTAGGTGATGTAATAGTTTGAAAATTTTTAGGTCTTTTGCTAGAAAACAATATTTCTCACTTCGATGAGTTGCATCAACATCACATCCCAATGTAATGTTAATGATAATGGGACCTGTGTCATAAATGGCAAAGGGACCTCTGTTTGTAAACCATATTCCATATTGTAATCAGTAATTCTATCTAAATTATTCCTTGTGAATTACGTTGTGCTAATCCAGATTTTATATTTGGTGAAAGAGTGTGTTTTGAGATATTATATATGGTGAAAGAGCATTCGGGCGCGATCTGAATCCAGATTTTATATTTTGTTAATGTGTTTGTGCGATCTGAATCCATATTTTATATTTTTTTGTTAAAGTGTGTTTGAGCACTTTCGAGGTTCATTGATTGTGAAAATCAAATCGCACAATGGAAAATTGGGCAAAAATTTTAGCCTTACCCTTGTGACGAGAAAGTATAGACCAAAATAAAATCTTTAGTCGCTCACTTTTCACATATATTACTGGATTAACTTAATTTATTCGATTTGTATTCATTTTCAAGTACCTATTATAAGCAATCCTTCGGCTGCAGACCATATAAAAGAGAAAATAAAATACGAAACATCAATTCCCTAAATAAAATATGGAAAATCGGATCACAAATTATAGTAGCTTATGTTGTCTATGTACCCACACAACTAGAGCATGTATGTACTTAACATGCTACGCACAACGACAAAATATCATATCTTGCAAACTATCATTGTAAGTAGTTTATGTTGTGTATTACTCTAAATTCAGTGGCCCAAAAAAAATAATTGCACCAAATAAATTCACCCGCATAATCTCATCAGAGTTCTACCATATACTTATCAAATTTTGAACCTTATTACCATNNNAAAAAGATGTACTCTTTTGTACTTAAGCAATGGTTGCCCCCTGTTTCAAGGAGCTGATAAAAACGTACATTCGCGTTTCTACCGGCCGTAAAAATAATAAAAGCATTTTATTCTCACATTGTACAATTGAAGAAACTCGAAGTCAATGCCCGATCAGCATGTGTTTGACTAATGCTTGGTCAACTGTCGAATAACGTATGGAAGTATACCGCCATGATTGAAGTATTCCAGCTCCACCTAATCAAAGACGATAAAAACGTAAATACAATGTGAATTTAACCTTTTGCATGCCAGATGTACATATTTTTCTCACGTATAATGGGAAATGTCGATGTATCTTTTTTATTTTTTAAGAAAAAAAATATTAGGTTTGAAATAACTGTAAAGGACGAGCGACTTTTACCTCAGTGTCAAAGCGAACAGTGCAAGTGAATTCTTTTCCAGTGTCCGTACACACGGTAACATCTTGGCCAGGGCGAATTTCAGAGATGTTGCTCGGGAGGTCAATGGAGAAACGTTCGAGTCCAGTCAAACCTAATGTGTCCGCATCCTCACCGGACTTGAAACACAGGGGAATAATGCCCATTCCCACAAGATTGCTTCGATGGATCCTCTCAAAGCTTTTGGCAATTACAGCTTTAACACCCTGTTATCCGGAGGACATTGTTACGTTACTAGACAAGAAGTTGAAGTTAAAAATGGCTGCGAAGAAATTTTTTACTCACCAACAACATTGGGCCCTTGGCAGCCCAATCCCTAGAGCTTCCACTTCCATACTCGGCTCCAGCCAAAATAATGGTGTCCTGTCCCTCGGACTTGTATTTCTGAAAGTTGTGTTTTGGAATTCGGTCAAAAGGAATATGGTTCGGAAATTATTTTGCAGATAATGCAAAATGTGATAGTTCAATAATTTTGACCACAGCTATTAGAACGAAATTTCAAATGCAAGCCGAAAAAAAAAATATCCCAGAATTAAGTTTAATTACACGAAAATCGAGTCATCTTTCACAATTACAAATGCCCAATAGCAAGTTGCAATAGGTGAATCCATGCAAAAATACATATATGTCAAGTTTTATTTCCAAAAACGATAATATTTGCACTATCCTTTTCATTTATTGATGAAAAAAGTAAAAACTAATGAAAGAAGAAACTATATATAAATCCAGATATTACCATGGCAGCATCAAATACATAGAGTTTTTCTCCCGTGGGGACATGCACCGTCTTTGGGCCAACTTCTCCGTTCAACAACTTGTTCACGAGACGGATATTTGCAAAAGTGCCCCTGGCCATTATTTCATCATTACCACGTCGACTGCCGTACGAGTTAAAATCCTTGCGGTCAACTCCACGGTCAATCAAGTACTTTGCAGCAGGACTATCCTTCTGAATGCTGCCAGCTGGCGAGATGTGATCCGTTGTGATACTATCGCCAAAGTTGAGCAAGCAGTACGCATCTTTCACTCCATGTGGGCCAGGAGGATCCATAGTCATATTCTTAAAGTATGGTGGCTCATGGATGTAAGTAGAATTTGGGTCCCACGAGTACAGCTGGGCAGTCGGCACGGATAACTGGTTCCACATAGGATTACCTTTGGTGATTGCCTCGTATGTGCTCTTGAACATATCAGGCAACACACTGGATTGAACCACCTAAAGAACAAATTTTTGTCATATTCGGGTATTGCGTTTTATGGATCTAGCAAATTAACCAGCAAATATAAATTTTTACTTACCTGAGCCACTTCTTCAGTTGAAGGCCAGATATCACTGAAGTATACGTCCTTACCATCCTTGCCTACACCGATTGGCTCTTTCTCAAAATCAATATCAACCTGTTAAAAGAGAACGAATACAGTTCAAATTGCTCTATCCATAGTTAAAGTACATTCACCTGATTTCCTGAAATCACAAATATCAAGCTTTGATTGACTGGCCCTTTTCTCTCAAATTTTCACTTGAATTTCGATAGTGGGATTAGTTATCAGATGAAAATGTAATGCTAATTGTGGAGTTTAAGTATTTTAATACATAGTTATTCAAATTAGATTATGATTGGGAATGTAAGAGAGAAAGATGGTGAATAAACTAGTGCGATATGTTTTGAATAAAATTATAGTTAGATGTAACTGCTGATTGAAAAAGTGTGAATGAGATGAATGGTGCAATTTCGAGGGGAATAAAAGAAACTTCAAAAGTTGGCATTTTTCCTCAGAAAAACACACTTGAGAAAAACTTTTACACAATGGGATCACAAGCAATCACAGCCTAAGTCATCTTCTCGCGTCTTCAGTTGCACGTAGAATGAATCCTATACCCATTCTCAATAATGCTGATATATATACCGTACACGATAATTTTATCACAACTCCTACATTCGTTAATCTAATCCCGAATTTATATACCTTAGCCTTTAAAGATATGGGTCATCCACTTAACATCATTAATGATTTTCTTAATATCAATCTGCTTCAACCATCCTATCCTAGGGGTAGTTTCATGTATGTCTCCCCCTTACCGAATTGCAGCCCTATACCATTTGATCATATCAATAAGATATTGAATGATCTGACACCAACTAAAAATAAGAAGACTTGGAATAAGAATGTCAAAGCGCTTATGGAATGTTACAACAACTATGTTGAAACTGTGTGCGGTAAGCTAGGGAGTGATGATAAGTGGAATCAGTTTAAGCAACTTATAGATGAAAGAAGTAATAATTACAGCGTGCATTACTAATTAGTATACGAGATTGATATGAGACTTATAGAAGCCAGTACCAATACGGTTGTGCTCCCCGACTAGGGGATCCTTCTCTGGGCTGCATACTTTCCTTCTATCTTTTTTGTTTATAGCCTACCATAAAGGTAACTAATAATCCGAACAGCACAAAAAGAATAACATGGTACCCTACCTGAACCGAGAAAGCTACTACCTACATGACCCTTTGCCTCCTTTCCTTTCTTTGTTAGCTCCCTTCCCTTGTTTCTTGTCTGCTTGTTACTTGCTAATGACCGAGCGCGCTTAGGAGATATGGTTTTAACAGTAGGAATGGATGGGTAGCTACACCCGAACAGACTGATACGAAAGGTACGAAGTAGCTCGACAGAAAGGTACAAACGAAGCTGCACGAAGTGAAACGAAGCTCCCCTAAATTCCAAGAATAGGGAATGAATCTAAATGAGACGAAATAAAACGAAATGCGTCGAAATGAGAGGAAGTGTATCGTTCGGTCTACCCACCCGGGCATCCCTCTCTTGGGACAGGTCGAAGCTTAGGACTTTGTGTGGGGGATATTTTTTTAGCTTTTCCATCATCCTCAAACAAAATGGAAGCTTCATGATCATAGTCAAATGCACTTTCTACCATGATAATATTAGATACGCACTATCATAATGAATCACTGGGTCGATTCTGTCAATAAATGCAAATGTCTTGTACTTAATTTAATGACAAGACTTAATGTCCATCATTTTAGTCAGCCTTGATGGTAAGAAACGGTAATTAGATTAATATGACAAACTATAGAAATAAATGCAGTTGGAAATTAATTACTAACCGTGCCAGCAAGGGCATAAGCAACAACTAGGGGAGGTGAGGCAAGATAGTTTGCTCTTGTTAACGGATGGACACGACCCTCAAAGTTACGGTTTCCAGAAAGCACAGCAGCCGCAACAATGTCTGGAAAATCCAATCACCCAATTAGATGAACAGATTGCATTGACATGCAAGCACAGGAAATTTCACAAAGAGGCAAAACATTCTAAAATACCATTTTCTGTTATAGCAGCACCAACTGATTCATCTAAATCCCCTGAATTTCCGATGCATGTTGTACAGCCATACCCAACAATATGGAAGCCTTGCTCGTTCAAGTATTTCTGTAGCCCACTGCATCACATGAAGTGTGCGTATTAGTAATATGTGCATTTGGAAAATACTGAATTTAAATAAATGTCAGAAGCAATACCTCTTCTGCAAATACTTTGTGACAACCCCAGAACCTGGAGCAAGACTTGTTTTTATCCATGGTTTGACCTGATAAAATTTCCTCATTAGCTTAACATTGAAATCAGGTGCCAGTCGAATGAGCAGGTCAGTTAATAATAATAAGGAAATTATTACACCTTAAGACCCAGTTCACAGGCTTTCTTTGCTACAAGGCCTGCCCCAAGCATGACACTGGGGTTTGACGTATTTGTGCAACTCGTGATAGCAGCAATTACAACACTGCCATGCTTAAGCTCTGCTGGTTGGCCATGGAATGAAAATTTGCCCACTTTTTCTTGTGCTTCTTTTGGCACAGCAAATCCCTATATTGCAGTTACAATATGGTTTAGTAAATAGCCTTAAAAGAAGTTGCAAAGAAAATCCAAGAAGACATTCTGAATAATATATTCACGCAAATTGTTTTAGAGAAACCAAGCAACACTGAAAAGTCTCTAGCCCATCCAGGTCCAGTGATAAGTATCACCATACCGTAATAAGTCGA